ATTTATGTAAATAATTAGATCTTTAATTTTTTTAAATTTAGTAAATTTCAAAAGTAAATACTTTTTTATTTTTTATTTACTTATATTTATTAATATTTTTAATAATTATTTATAATTATTAATTAATAAAATATAAATAAAAAAATAAACTAATAATATCTAATTATAATTTATATAATAATATTATATATCTTTTATAAAATAATTAATAATTTTATATAAATTTAAATAAAAAATATTTTAAAAGTAATAATTTTAATATATATTCTTTAATCTTTCTTTTCTTTTTCTTTTATAATTATTATTTTTAATTCTTTCTTATTTCTTTTTTAAGTTAGTATATTTTAGTACTTTTAATTTTTATTTTCTTTATATTTATCTTTCTCTATTTTTATCTTTATTTCTTCTTTTATCTTTATTATTATCTTTATTTTTTCTTGCTTTATTCTTTTAAACTAATATTATCTTGTTTTTCTAACTTTTATTTTTTATTAATATTATACTCTTTATTACTAATTTTAAAAATTTTATTATTAATTATCAATTTTTTATAATAATTATATTTAAATATAAAAGCTATTATAATTCAAGATTATTAGAGCTTAAACTACTAGTTATATATTAATTATAAATACTAAAAAGTAGAAAAAAATATAATTTATTCAAGTTTAAAAGCAAGATTTTTTTATAATTAAACTTTATAAAGTTTTAAATAATTCAAAGATATAAAATAAAGTTTTCAATAAGTTATAATATAAACTAAGAATCTCAATATAAAATTTATTCTATTTTATAATATACAAATTTTAATAAAGAAAAAGTTTAATAAAATTCACTAATTTAAAACTATATTAACTTTATGTATTTTAAAATTTAAAAAATCAAATATTAATTAAAAATAATTATAATAATCTGATTTTAGATATTAATTTAAATTATCTAAAATATAATTTTATATATAATAATAATTTAATTTTGAATATTATATATAAGAAAATATAAAAAAATCAGATATAAAGTTTAATTAATTTTTTATTCAAAATATTATATAAACTAAATTATTTTAAATTTATTAGTATAAGCAATTTAAATTACATAATTTTATATATGAATTATTAATATAATAACTTTAAAAAATCTATATTATGAAGAATCTATATATAATATAACTTGAAAATTTAAATAAAATTTTATAAAAATTTAAATTTTCCAGATAAATTTATCTAAAAATAGTTTAAAAAATAATATTTTATTTTAAATATATATATATATATATTTATTTATTTATTAATATATAAGTCTTATTTATCTTTTTATTAACTACTTGATTCTGATAGTAAAATCTGAAAATCAAGATATTATAATATGAAAATATTTTACAAAAAATAAACTTGATTCTTTAATTCAAGTTTCTGGTAGTATTACAGATGCTATATCTTATTAAAAAACACTTTTTTTATAATTTAGAATATATTTTTCAAAATAATGATATATCAATTTATAGCGCAAGAATAGTTAAATAATAAAAGAGTCTCAAGTCTTTCATAAACTGTACAAAGTCCAGATCTTTAATTTAATAAGATGTTTTAGAAAGAATGGTTCAGACACATAAATCTCATCCAAAAAATATTGATGAGTTAATAAAGATCTTGAAGGAATGGAATAAAATTAAGCCTGAAGTTTTAATAAATTTGAAAGTATGCCAAGAGTTCAGGTTATAATAGATAATCATGGAAATCCAACTAGATTTTAATAAAAAAATTCATATTTTTCTAAGTTGAATAATATAAAATTTTTATAATTTTTATTAATAAATTGTTAAGAAATTAAGCATTAAAGTCAGCATATAAATTTACCAATGTATATGAAGTCAGATCAGATCGACAATACGTGTCCCGATTATTTTCCTAACGATTCCTCAACTGCATCTTTTTCATACCAATTCTTTTCAGTCTTCAATTTATCATAGAATTTTTTCCATGGGTCAATTGGAGTATATTTAACAATTATATTATCTTGGATTTTCAAGTCGGCTGTTGGATCTGTATTAATAAAATAAGAATCGATATACAAGCTTCCTACATGCTTGAAAGACAATCTGATTTCTCCTTCAATATTATCTAGATCAGCCCACCCTGAGTTTGGTTCTATCCTGAATTTTCATATAATTCCACATGATAACTGCTATCGGCTTTGAAAAAGAATGAGTCACCGAGATCCTTGATATCTGAGAATGGTTACATACTAATTATATAGAGATTAATGATATGGATGATAATACCTTTTCTTTTTGTTCTTTTATTAAAGACAACTGACAAGGGTTCAAGTATAAATTGGACTTGATCAGCTGAAAGTTAAATGGTGAGAGATTGAGAAGTAAATGATCAATATGTAACCGCTATTCTGTACCATAAATATAGAATGGGAATACGATTTATCAGATAGTTTTAATCTTAGAATGATGATCCCAAGTAGCGTTTCTTGAGCAATTTAATGAATTTCACTTTGAAATTCTCGATCAAAGGAGTTGGTTTTCTGTGTGAATTAATGTGATACAATAAATATGACATAATAAATGTGATCAAGATATTCTCAAATTACATACTTTTTAATGCCACGTAAGGATTGAATGTCTCGGTAATAAAAATCATAAAAGAATTTCCCTCAGTTGCAATCTGATTGACTGTAATACCATCTTGGGAACAAAGAATTCGCACTTTTAAGGGATCTTTTTTATGCAACTCCCTGTATTTTTTCATTACTTTTTCTGGTATCTTGACTTTAATAATAACTTGATGATGAGTTTTTAACTGAAATAGCGACAAGTGTGTTAAACAAATTTCGTTGGTGCCTTGCATGAAAAATGGATGTATCGTATAATTGTAAATTTTTTCGTTTGATGGAATGTGGAAAGGATGATTTGGATTTTTTGTGTTGCGCTTGATTGAAAGCTAAAAAAAGACAATTAACTACAGAATCAAAAAATGCTGAATTGAATATTATAAGTTACCTTGACCAACTCTTCCAAGGCTTCTTTGAAAGCCTTTGTAAGTTTGGTGATGAAATTTAATTCTGTGGACCACGGAGTCATGTCCACATTGTTTATCACATAGAGGTCTTGATCGCCTTTCAAGCCAAGACGGTTTTTAAAATTCGTCGGACAATCGCCATAATCACTCTGTTTAAACATCGTGGAGGAAAGAGTCAATGGTTTATCTTTGTTATGTTGCTTGTAAGAGGTAAGTGAGAATTTTTCGGATAAGCGTCGGTTAAGAAAATTTGCTTCATTTACATCCTTGTCCAATTCGCCGTCCACTTTAAAGTTGCATGCAAAGCTATTTATTATAATATCAGATCCGACTTTTTTAATTAAATCCTGGGCCTCTTCACTATTTACGATATTCCAATTCGATTTGGTAACAATTAATTCGTGGCTCTTTTTCTTTTGCTCTTTGACTTTACCCGGACTTTGTGGATTGAGCTTCTCAGCAGGCAGCATGTTGAACGAAATAACTATAAAGTCATCATCGTCAGATGACATAGTGGCCCAAATGACAATAGATCGACAAGCGGTGTAAAAGATATACAGTATATTTAGATGAAAGACCTAATGTGGCAGCTCCGCAAGTGATATGATACCTTGCTAAACGTAAAAGTTGCCTGTCCTAATAATCCCCATAGCCATTTTGATGAAGTCCAATTATATCGTGAGAAAGCCAAACAGCCACTGGTACAGCACCAGGTTTACTAGAGAATCATAGATATTAACACGGGAATATAGGTTATAAGTGATTCAGGACTTACCTTCCTTCCACATCATAAACTCCGATACTTTCTTCTTCGGGGCGCAAGATATATGCACTTGACCAGGTGATCTCATGTGCTGATCCCGATAACATAGGCCACCGGCAGGATATGGGATATAACCACTTTTGTGTAGATCAATAGTGACAGAATCGCAATCCTTCAGAATGTATAACTTTTTTGTGTATAAGGATTCAATGCTAAAATCTATCACGCTCTTCTTCATGAACTTCTAAACGACCATCGGATTTTGTATTCATGTGTGGTTTGACAAGCATTGAACGAAAGTATCCACCACATGCGGCATCTCCATGAATAAAACTGAGACCGTACTTGCACTGATATCGATCTCGAAGAGCCACAATATTGGCCAAAGGGTCACAAGCGCCTTGTTCAGTTGATCCTATGATTGCGACTACTGCATAAACTGCTTGTTTATTTTTAACGTATTTCATAAGGATTTTAGCAAGCTTATTAATGTCCATTCGTGTTGCATCGTCTACTGAGATCTTTTTCAGATTTGCTGATCCAATCCCAGTAATTGTTTAAATAGGATAAGTTAGTATCATTGTCGAAGCAAAGGAAATTTTAAGAAGCAAATAATTGTTCTCACCACACCCCTTGGGCCATGAATAATGTTTTGTGGTGCTAATCAAATACAGTGACGGTTTTGTAATACCAAATTTTTGTTCTAAGTAGTCCTTTCCTAGAGTCTGAATGCTGTAATCATTAAACACAGTTTGCAAAAACTGAGATTTAATTCCATGCTTCTGATAAAGTCGTTCAGGGATATTTAGTGGTTGGCCTGAGATTGAGCAATTTCCATGTGGTGTAATCCTTAAGTAACTTATTTTCCGGACTGTTGTTTTCCAGGCGTTTGGTGAGTTCAATGGTGAAACCTGGGCCAATAAAAGATAATTGACCCTCTTCAATGGCGAGACGGAGAGAAAGTGGATAGAATTTAAGGTTACGTGCTATTAAAGAGAATTATGGAATATTGAAGTATTTATACGAGCATTTTTTACATTTGGTTAATTACTTGTCCTGAAAACAATATTTCGATTATTGGCAAATAAACAATAGTTAGTAGCCGGCTCATATTAGACCGAGTGCAATAGCAACGGGGCACCATTCACACCGTTTCGGCCTATTTTGAAGCGGATTCACTTACCAATGAACCATCGCAGGTTACGTGGCCCCAACTCCGAATTTTTGGAAGGTTATCATTATCGACTGTTTGTTTCTCTTGATCAATACTTGCCAAATTACTGTTTAGTCCTTCAACAATGTTAAACCCAAGCATTTCACACAACTCCGATCTCGAACCAAGTGGTTAATGGGGATCCTTCAATGGCAACATTGTTTTGCTTATATTGAAGAGCGGCCACATAGCCGAGTTGCTTGGCATGGTTATATCCATGTTAATATGACATATATAGAGCGGAGACCAGAATGGCACTGACCTTTCGGGGAGTATTATTGAGAGTAATTTGAGTTGCTCTTAGAAGTACGCCATAATTCTATCGAACTCTGCCGACTTCTCCATCTTTCCGGTGATGAATTTCTGGTCCTTATCAAAGTAATTTTCTCGTCCCTGTAAAATTTACGGACGAATTCTTGGTTTTCAGCACGTGGGCCAAAGAACCAAGCGTTGTTTTCTTGAACAAAGGGATCTGTCATTATTTCTTGTTAGTTATTTTATTTAGATATTGAAAAATACCTATAATGAATAAAAGGATTCTAGGTAGTTTATATATGTCTATAATATGTATATGCTTTTTATATACTAACATCACTTATCGAACTTGCACGTCTAAATTGTTTCGCAGACCGCGGATCCCTATTTCATTGTACCGATATTCTAGTTTATTAAATTTCCTGTCCATTGCACATGAATGGTCATATATGAACATGTCATGTCACCTCTTTATATTATTCTTGAACTTTCTCTAGAAAAACGAGTACATGTAATGGCAATTTGTATTTTTAATGAATACATAATAAAAATTGCTGAGATTATACATTTGGCTCGTATTGAAGAGTACATGTATTTTCTCAAATTGATGTAGATTTCGACCAAAAATCAAAATAAAAAAATCAATTAAACGGGAAGTAATACAGCTTACCGGTTAGTAATTCTCAAACCGGGCGAGGATATCCGAAAAAAATAAATTACGTTTATTCGGTTCGGGATTTTATGTGTTCAAATTTTGGGATGCTGTGTATTCAGGATTTCGTTTGTCGAAATTTCGTCCAGAATTTAAAAGAACCCTTGTTTTCGAGTATTTCGACAGTGTTGCATTCTCCGTTAGTAAGATCTTTATTGCGACCCATTTGTATATACACTTTAAAATTTCGAGTTTTATTGTATTTAAGTAGTGAATTGAACAAAACGAACTACTTTAAGATCAATTTTAATGTTGTATTATATTGCTATATACCGCAACATGCTGTTGCCATCGCAACGAAAAATCCTGTGATCGCGAATATTCCGAACTAACACTGAATTTCTTATGTCTGTAAATCATGTGGGACGAAACCTAAATTTAGTTTAATTAGTACTATACCAAAACGCGTACGCAAGGATCCCACAAAATTTCTTACCTTGTAACGCGTTCCTAAAAATTCCTACCACTTTATATTATCAACATTGATGCGATCCCGGAAATTCCTGCAAAAGTTCTCACTTTATGATATCAACATTAACGCCAACTCCCTAACCGACAGAGGTATTTCATTTGAACACTTATCTTGCGCGCCCAAAATAATGGATTATACCTTAGATAGCTATTACCGAGAACAGTTATGAATAACGAAAGCTGTATAAATAGGATAATAGCTCTCGAAGAGTTGTGAAATTGGTTTGAAGAAAAATAAATATTAAATTTAATTTCGAAACTTACCTAATCTCGCTTCGGCTTTTTTCTTTTGTGCTAAAACGAAATCGATAGTTGAATTCTATTTGTGCTCAACAAATTGAAGGCTTTCCTGCTTTGGCCATGCAAGTCGCTGCATTACTTTGAATCACTTGGACATTAATATTATTAGTTTGATATTAATATTATTTTTTTGATATTGATATTATTAATGTTATTAACTGGCATTTTCGAGTTTTGATTTTTATTGTCTTATTTGTGAATACCTATTATTGCCTTAGAATAGTTAAAATAATTTATTTACATTAGTTTTTTTGTAACTTTCGAATTGAATGTGACAATATTAAAACACTTTACGATCGTTTTAAATTTTTATTACCTCTTTGAACATGTAATGGCGTTTAGTGATTCGATTCGGGAACAAAAATTACCAGGTAACGATTCAAACAGGTCAATATCGATTGATTTGATCGTGCATACGGAGTACTTTTAAGATATAGAAGGTCTAGAGTTGAGAAAGAATAGTTTTAGACTTTTCGGAAGCGAACAACAATTCTCGCAAATAATAGCAAAAGATATTACTTTTTTGTGATACATGTTATCGATGATTTACGCGCGTATTTCTTTGAGCCTTTGGTAAGAGACCAGTTATCTTGGGTTTCGTCCGAGCTCACGGGACTCATCAGT